TAGTAAAAGAGTAATTGCACGAATTTGGTTGCTACAAAACTTGAACATGGATGTTTCCCACCCTGAAGAGTAAAGTTTTTGTTTTGTTAAATAAATCTCTGTGCACAACTAAGCTGTGATACATTTTCCCTGGACTTTTATATTATTAAATTACTGCCAAAAGAGCCAATTTTAAACCAAAATTGGAAATCTTTTCTTTAATATTTGCTCTTTCACACCAGTCTTCACAAAACTTAAAGTGCAGCATAAAATAGATTCTACAGTATCTGCTTTAGGAGAGGAGCAAATGATAAATTACTTGCCTAGGAGGAGATGATGTTATTAATCAAAATGACTTCAGGGTGTAGTGTTTTGAAGTTGTATTGAGTATTAAATAACAGGTGAAGGGAAGGAAGTTTTTCCTTTTGAAATTCTAAATCTAAGCCTATTCAATAAAATAAAGCAGATACCTTTTAGCCAAGTTGTCACAGAAAAAAAACTTCATGAAGAGATAGTGTAAATTAAAGCCTTCAAATCAAAATCAGGACGTAAAGATTGCTTTGCATTTCTTTTCATAACGAATAATGACACAGTTTGGTCTCTTACAGAATTTGTTCAAGATTACTTGAATGGCAGGAAGTGAATGCAACTCTGCTGTCCCCTGAAAGTAACAGCTATGAGCACTTCCTGATTAAATGAAGGTTTTACTTCGTATTCTCTGATGCTCCTTTTCAGATTAATTTATTTTACCAGGAGCCATTTCATCTGCTGCCGAGCTGTATTGCCAAGGAATGCAAATTCATGTCACTTACTGAGGGCATCATGCAGGACTTATCCTACAGAGCTCCAGAGAGAGGAAAACTCTACTGAAATAAGAGTTTGCATGTGTGAACATGCATGCCCATTCAGGACAGAATGAAGTCTTGCCTGTTTCTGCTGCTCAGGGCCTTTCTGTCAAAAGTTTTTAATTGTGCTTTATAGCACAATCTTTGGAATACAGAATACATGTAGTAGTTTGGTTTGAATTTCTGGTTAAGGATTACGATTTTTTGTAGAGGGGATAATGTTAGAGTGGGGAGAGGGAGCTCACGTTTCAATATGGTCTTTTCCTTACAGTTTTATTCCATACTAAAATCTGGGCTACATAGCAACCTTTTGAGGAAGACACTGACACCATACATAACACCAGCCCATGCTGGGACTACGTGAATTGTTTATTTAGATAACTTAGATCCCTGCAGTTGAAATTAAATCTGGTGATTCCCTTGCAAGACCATGGAACCAGCTGTGACTGGTCTAGAAGGGCACTGGGATGGATATATACTCAATGCTGTGTCCCACAGTAGGCTTGTATCCAAGTTAGGACGTTACAGTTTGGATGAACTCTGGAGTACAATGGATTGTACTCTACCTGGAAGCCAGTTACAAGTAGAGTGTCACAGGGTCTATACTTGGATTCATCCTGATCAACTCCTTTATCAGTTACCTAGATGAGAAGTTCGCTGACACTTCTACCATATTTATGGATGACACCAAATTGGTGGGATTAGCCAATAAAGACACACTAGGGCAGAGCTGCTCTGGACCCAGACAGGCTGGAAAGATGGGCTGACAGGAACCTGATGAAATTCAACAAGGACAAACACCTAGTCCTGCACCTGGGGAGGAAGGACTCCCTGCAATTACACAAGCAAAGTGATTATATCCCTGTATATGGCACTTGTGAGAGCACATCTAGATACTACATCTAGTTTTGGTTCCCACAACACAATATACACAATGACAAATTGAGGAGAGCTCAGCTGGGAGTCACCAAGATGGCTGCAAGGAGAGACTTGCGGGAACAGGGCTTGTTCAAACCAGGCAGAGGGAAAGAGCATCAGCTTTGTTGAGGGAAAAAACATCAGCCTGTAGAGCCTACAAAGAGGTCATCAAGACAGCAGAGACAGGCTCTTCAGCAGTGCTTAGAAGTAGGACAAGAGACAATAGGCATAAACTCAAATCAGGGTCTTTCAGACTGAATATTAGGAAAAATATTTTCATAATTAGAATAGTCCAGCAGAACAATAGCTGGCTCAGGGAAGTTGGGCAGTCTCTGTCCTGGAGAAAACTTGGTGTTTTTCAAGATGAGAGCAGATATAGCCTTGAACAACCTGGTCCGACTTCACAGCTGGCCTTGCTTCGAGCAGAGGACTGAACTATAGATCCTTTAAGATCCCTTCTGTTTTGAATTATCCAACAACTCTGTAGGAAGGTAAGTTCCCCATCCACTGATACTAATCCATGGGGAACACCAGCATTGTAGCAACCCCAGACCAGTAGGTAGTCATACTATGACTACCTTCATAAAATATGAAAGGGAAAGCTTCCTCAAAGCTGAACGTCACTGCAATAGAAAAAGAATCATGTGCACTCAGTGGCCTTTTTCCTTTTTCCACTGTTCATCATCAATGCAATACAGAGCGTGCACATTGAGTAAAAAAATTGAGTGTGGGGGGTGGGGAAGGGAAGATGAGCAAGATCAATTTTTACATCTGTATCCTTTCCTGTGGCCAATAAAATACTGCTCTTCTCAGAAGATACACCATTAAATTTTCAATTTAGAACCGTATACCAGGAAATAAAACTTCCATGACATCCTTCAGAGATTATCCCAGGGCTTAAGAGATTTCACACTCTAACAGTTCCCAAAAATACTCCGACTACATGTTTCCTTTGTCAGCCACATCCTAATATAGTACTAGATATAGTACTAGATAAGTCCTCTACCCCCAGGCTGTTCACATTCCTCAGAGAACTGAGGACTGTTATGCCACATAGACAGTTAGAAAGATCGAGATCTTTTAATCTTTCCTCACATCCACTCTTAACACCAAAAAGTGTTTGTATTTCTTGCCAAAATATCAGGATGGGTTTCCCTTTCTGTGGATGAGGTCCTATCACTGTCTGCAGAATAGCAGGTGTGCTCTCATCTGAGTCAGTGCGCAAACGAGCCCACTCAAGTCCTTTGATTCTCTTGCACACAAACCCCCCAAACTGCAAGTTTTGTTTTCAAGGCTAAAACAGCAAGCACTCCAGGAGGCCTTGTCTGTGCTGTTTTCATCAGTCTGATCTTCTAACATCGGTGGAAATAGTTTCAGTCACTTGTAGGGTCTTGGCTCAAGTCCCAAATCTTAAAGAATAAAAGCAAGGAGAAAATGAGGCATTAACTTCAAATGCAGCTGCCCGGAATTCCTGTCTTGAAGTGGGAATGGAACAAAGTTGAGGGTAAGTGGAAGGATTTTTTAAATTAAAAAGAACAGGACAAAGAGCATGTTTTAACTTTCTAATTGAAAAAAAAAAGTGCTTTGGAAAATATTCTGTGGAACTGTTTTGAATTAACTTATTGAAAACTTGAATGTCACAGTATTTACTTTGATGCTCTCTTCATAAATTTGAGCTTATTGGTGTCTTTACACAACATGCAAGTTCTCAGGCTGCCTTCTAAATTCAAGAAAATCTAAACAGAACAATGTGAGGACAGTCAGTACATTCAGGTATTTCACAAATATATAGTACCAGAAGGTTGCAGGATGTGCAACAGCTTTATCCTCACCAGGAGAAAGTCAGTTCCCAACTTTACTAAGCCACAGTTTTGCACAGGGGAGCTGCTCAAATGCTAACAGAGCAAGAGGTTGTATACACTGTTCATAATGTGTCAAAACACTTAACCAAATCCCATGTCATGTGTACACAGCTAGAAGAAAGCCTGGTTGCATGTGTTACATGTGCATTATGATCCTTGGCTGCCCTGCAGCCAGATGTTTACATGTCAGCTAACTCTCGCCCAGAAAATTACATACTCAGAATTCATTGCTACCTTCTTCTTGTTCACAGAAGGTCTTATAATCGCTCCGTCTCAACATGATAACCTGAGACTGACTGTTCCCTCGCAGGTCTGGTATATCACAAGACTTGCACACTTTTTCTGGATCGGGTCATTAATTATTTGCTCTGTGACTAATTCTTCTAAAATCAAAACAAACAATGTAAGGCACACATCAAGGAAAAGCCATCTCTCTGTCTCCCCAGATGTTTTGCTAATGCACAGTCTAGTATAGTTACAGTATGCCTAAGAAGTAGGAAAAGGCTTCTTTTTTCTGCTCTTATCTTCAAAATGGTTCAATCAGTAGAGCTGAGCCAAAAGAAAATATTAAAGGAAAGCAAGAAGTGAACTGAAAAGGACATCCTGCATCTTTTAATAACAAACCAAACAAACATTGCACTGCTTGCTTTGTAAGTCTTACAGAAGAGCCTCTCCTTAGCTCAGGCTGCCTGTTTTTTAAAAAACAAAGGCAAGCAGAACTAGCTGCAGGCAATTAAGTACATAAACATTTGAATTCATGCTTGTGTATCCTCAGAAGGAAAAGCTCTCTTAAAAGCAACCTAAGGAACTTCTTCAGCTATACTCTGGCAAAAGTTATTTGAGACTTGAAGATTTTTGAAGTCTTTATAGTTCTTTAAAAACAAACTGGGAAATGCTAAAATAAAAAACCCCACAGACTGCTGCCAATTTCAAAACAGGATGTTTTTGTTGTTGATGATTGTAATTAGGACCAGTGACCTTGAAAATGTAAACAACCCATCCATTTCCTCTTCTAATTATTGTTGCAAATATTTTTTTTCTCTTTATAAACTTGTTCATGTGAGTACTCGAGTTCATACTGAGGCAAAGACCACAGGACTAGAAGTGCTAGCACCCAATGTCACCAGCTAGTTCAAAGGAAAGGGAAGGAGGAGGAGGAAGAAAGTATTTAGTATATGGCTAGTGATTTAAAATCAGGGTGGCTGTTATCAGCACACAGAAAAGCAAGACAGAAAAGGCACTCCTACAAGAAATGCATTACAAGTACTGCTAAAGAAAGATCCATTATCAGGAGAAAACCTTGGAAAGCGCAGTCTCCTTAGATAGCATGGAGGAAGTTCTGCAGCTTTCTCAACACATAATCTTGCAGTCAGAAACTTGACACCCGAGTCCTTACCTTCTGATGTCCAAATTCATTCAATATTGTGCCCAGCTTCTTTGTGTTGCTGTGAAGCTTGTGAGCAGCAATGGCTGGATTGGGATCCCTCCAGTCAATGGACAGGCGATGGTACCAGAGGTGCCGACCCTCCTGGATGTGCGCTGACTTGATGCTGGGGTCAAAGCGATGCACCTCACACCCACTGTTGGCCATGCCGACCTCAAACTGGTTGTCATCACTGCCTAGCCTACCAAAAAAAAAAAACCCACCACCAAAAAACATGTAACTATTAATGCTGCAAGAAGAACTGTTAGTGGGTAGGACATTCTGAGGATGAACTGGCTTAAACAGGAAATTCAATACAGTATGATTAGAACAAAGGGCTCCTTTCAAGTCAAGAACTAAACCACTTTTAGCCAGGCTGACAAACTTCCCAAAGAGCATTTTCTTAATTCAAAAGTTGACAAAATTTATAAGGCAGTAAATTAAATGTTGGAATCTATGTGCTGACATTATTGATATTCCTATTTTATATTTATATATATTTCTCTATTTTCAATTTGCTTTTTTCTTGACAAGTTTACAACACTTTTTTCAGTCGCCACTGCACAAACTTCCAATAAGCAAAGCATAAACAGAAGAGCAAATATATTTAAAATTTATACAGTACTCTTTTGTAAAAAAATGGCATATTTCACACCATTTCTATCATCTGGTGTTACAAAGATGAGCCACAATGACCACCAGTGTGGACACGACACAAGTACCAAATGCCTCTCTTTCTCTGCAAACAGGAGGACACAAGTAAAAAAAGAAAATTTAAAAATAACCAATTTACAACAGTAGCAGATTTGTTATATAGACTTAAGAGAAATATTGCTGCTAATTTGGTGAAGATCCCAAAGAAGAAGAAAAATTAATAGCCCCATTGTACAGCAGGACTGTCTCAGTCCCTACCTCTGCAAGGAGAAGACATATTTTACAAGACTGTGCCATATTCCCACCTCCTACAGCCCACTGGTTCACACACGGTGCACTAAAACTAAAAATATCTGGTATTTACCACTGGAATCACATCTGGACCACAGGCCTTTTCTACTCTGTAAAACAGGATGTTCTCTTCCTTCATACTCCTTCAAGCTTGTTCCAAATGTGATTCAAATCATGCACTACACATTAAACTTTAACAAAACTAACACATGTATAGTGCTAAGAAGAGAATCAAGATTTTTAAATAGCACTTGAACCAGTTGTGCTAATTGAGACCGTCCACCATGTACTAACATCACGGCATTTATCTCTCACGCACAAACCATTGCAGGGCAGAACTCTAAGGTGTACTGTCAGGGCACCTGCTACACTACACCACAGTAATCCTTAGAAACGGTGTCACTGTGAAATAATTTTGGCTATTTGCATCAATACGTAAAACGCGATACATTGTAAATCATGTCATACTCTATGGTATGACATCAGGACAGCACTAAATGTTTTACAGAGATGACATACTAGTAAACTAAAAAGAATTCAACTGACGAAACAATGTTCAGAAGATAATGTGTTTTGGAAGTTACCAATATGGTACGACACTTGCTGTAATAATGGTTAAGCACAGTGTAGTGACAGCCTATGAGGTGGTCTTCTGCTCAGCCATCTTCCCTTTTGCGTGTCCTGGGAAAGTATGAGGAGACAGGGTTTGCAAAAATATCCTAGTGTGCTTTTAAGAACAACTCTATTTCACAGGATTCCAACCCGTACAGCCGTGTAGGAGGAAAAGAGAGGAGTTTTCTTTTAATACATTCAACGCGCATTAGGAAAAAAGTTCAGAAGTTAACTAAGTGAATCGACATGCTTGTTTGCATGTGGCTTTCTACAGAAGGGACACTGATGGACAAAGACCAGTGTAATCCCTTAGGAATGAGAAACTGGCTAAAAATGAACAACATGCAACTTGTTGGGGGCAGTTACAGCACTAGAGTGAAGAGCCTGCCAGCATCTGATGGCCACATGTGTCAATAACACACTTCTAACTGTACCAGCTGGTACAATCCAGAGGGCTGGATGCTTTGCTGTAGGCAAACCTCAGGCTGCATCCAAACAGACTGCCACTTGTGTGGACTGCAAAGGGAGGTTTCGGTGGTGGAAAACAGAAAAAAAAAATACAGATGAGGGTAGAGAAGGGGCTGATATATCTTCTGGTACTCTAGTAACAGCTCAAATTCACACCTGAAGAGAGATTTAGCCAACAACAGATATTTAGGGGAGAAAATAAGTTAATCTCTGAAGGAACTGGTTTCCAAAATGCCTGGCTCACATGCAATCATGCTAAGGGATAACGTAGCATGAAAAAGATAAACAAATTAGGTCTCCTAAAAAAGATTTTGTGTTACTTAAAAAGATACCTTGATTTTAAAACAAAGGTGTGGAGGTCACAGAAGATTAGAGAGGCCTTTCCCCACCATCAGGAGAGAGCAGCTGCTGCCTCCATCAACAGCAAAATAAAACATGTCAAAGACACTGGCCCTATTTTTACTATAAAGGAGAAGGGCGCTCGGTTACAGAGAGAAACGCAGTGCCCTGCAGTGGGGGTACAGGTGGGCTTCCAAACAGCAGAACCAGCACCTGCAGGACCATCTCTCCCAGCCTGTGTGTGAGTGCAAAGGAAGGGCTCATTGGCATTGCTCCCCGCTGGCAGCAGGGCAGGGACGCTGACCCAGGACAGAGCGCAGCACAGCAGGCAGCGGTGTCCCTTGGCTGTTCCCTGCTCCCAGGGTTCACAGAGGGTCATGGTACACAGAGCCTTGCACTCAGAATAAACACTGTGCTGCAGCTTGCACTGAACAAAGCATCCCACCGGCCCCTGAATCATCCAGGAATGCAGCGAGTGCGCAAGTGGCACAAAAGCTGCTTTGTCTTCTACAGCACAGCTCTAGTTGGCACCTGTAGCTGATCCAGCCTAACTGCAGGTACTCTAGCTCCCACAGCGATCACAGGACAGAGCTATAAACACATGCATGTTAAGGTCCAGCTTTCTCATTCTGTGCTTCCCCTCCTCCCCCCTTCTTTTTCAAAGGAAGAAAACTGAGCTCTGCAGCTCAGGGAAAAAAGAAGCACCCCCTGCCTGGATCATAAAACCCCTACACTTTAGGATGCACCTGAAACAGCATTTATACTATATTGCAGTAAGACTCTTTAAACATCTACTGGTAAATTTTTGAAATCCTATTCATTTATGTTATCCCAGCTTGAATGCCTGCCTGTGGTGTTTGTAACTGACTTAGCTTAATCTAAGTAGATTTAGCACTAATAACTAGAGGTCACTAATGCATATTGCAATTATGTATCACACTGGGAAATCCTGTCTCTGAAGCAAAAACATTGCTGTGTCCCAGTAGTGGAAGCAACTATAACTAATCTAAAGGGATGCCCAGATGTTCCAGAGACTACTCGCTCGCATTCACAAGTGACCTCTTCTATAGCATTTGAGGAGGCAAAGCCTAAGCAGCATGTTTTGTTCCAGTTTTAGCAATATATGGATTTAATTCAGGATTCCCAGTAACACTCACACTGAACTTTCACATTTCTCCTGTATCCATCCTCTCCACAGAGAATGTTCTTCATTGGACGCAGCTGCTCCCTGTTAGCTCTTCATAAAGTGTATGGGATAACAAAAATGTTTAAAAGAGGTTTTTTGTCCTACTCAGAACAAAATTACTTTTCTGTCTGTCATAAACTAAAGGAAGTGAGTCTGAGGGGAAGAATTATGCAGTAACGAGCTCCAAGTCTGCAGAAGCAGCTGGATTGAAGACTGCTTCTCCTTAATCTCAAGTATTTCCCTTTTATTTTTTTGCTGTTTCATGTGATGCATCATGGTTTGTTACTAACTGCATGTGTGTCTCTGACGTCTGATGGGAGAGCCAACATCAATTTCAATCTCTGCTAAGTCCTACTGTTCCACCAGTACAGAAAATCTGGCATTCAGGCTCCCTGGAGCTGGTGCAAAACAGCACCACATATAAAGCACTGGTATACATGCACTAGCTCGGGTTTGTTCAAAATCATTAGTAAAATATCTCTGTGCTGGTCAAATTCATGCCAAATCTGCATTTCCTAACACAGACAAAATCAACTCTGCATTGTACCTACTGGTCAGTTCAACAAAAATACCATTCTCAACCCACACTTGATACAACGCAACATAGAAAAGGGACATTAATACAGGAGCTCAAGTCTAATACTGATGATCCTGCAGCTTGAAGGGAAAGGTCTAGATTAATTCCACTGAACTTTGAGTATTTTACCAAGACATCTAAAGTCAGCAGACACGTTACCCAGACTTCCTCTATAATCAAAGGAAACCTAGACCTGCCTCCAGAATGTTATTTAGCTTAGCTGATTTTTCACCTGAATGTGCCTGCCTCTCCCTACTGACTACTGAAAGGGCCCTCAGGCAATAAGTCAGTACTACTATCAAGCAGGTAGTCTGGAACTGAGCATCACTCCTAACTTTCATAGGAACATGAAAAGCTGATAAGAAAAAAAAATCATGTAAACCTATATTTTGCATTAATATAGGTAAGTATAATTTGAAATGGATTGCAAAGAACATTCAGAAAATATGAAGCAACAGTAGCCAAGAGGAGTCTCCTCTCTGTATCCCTGATCTATCTCTAAAGGGCATGTTTATTGTTTTGCCACTGAGCAGTGCTGCTGAACAAAACCTGAGAGCTCCTCAACCTCTAAGAAGGTCTCTACAGCTCAATACAAACTCAAGCCAAATATAAACCCACCCAAATTAACCAAAAAATGCTCCCTTTGACTGCAGTGCTCTCTGCATCCACTTCACTCTAATTGCTGGTGTTAACTCCCATGTACTAATCACTGAGAAATGCCACCCAGGCACTATTCCCTGCTATCCACAGTTTGTATCCCACAGCAGCAAAATCACAGAAATAAATTGCACTGGTTCAAGGGAGATGAAGTGCTTCAATACACCTCAAACCTGAAGCTGGCTCCCAGGACAGCAAAGACAGTTTTATTAGGCAGCAGCTATGTGGTGATCTGTGGGAAACGGGCTCCAGATTCCAGTAATCGTTCTCCTAATGCAGCTGTGTGCTGATGGGTAATGTAAAAGGCCAGTGGCCTGATGTACTCTGAGGACTGATCTCCCTCATCCTCGTGGGAAGCAGAATGTTTTCTTAGCACAGAAACAGGCTGCATATGTGGTTTTGCTACCTGAGAAAGCACTTGTTCTGTACAGAGTGAAAACCTCAATCTCCAGTGCTGTAAATATCATAAACACTGCAAACATTTTAAAGTAAAGCCACAATTGCCTTTATTACTATCACTTCGCCACAAATCACCCCTAAAGTGTTGAACAAACAGACTCTCATACAGAAATGTACTATTTTGTCCCAGAGGCAGTTAACGAAGTTTTATAAGTAATGCTGCTGAACTATCCGGCAAATATGCAAGTCATCTCTGTTCAAAGAAGATGATGTAGGTTTCTCAGTTTATCTCCCCAATTTCCATCTTCCTCTGTATGAATTACTACTCACAACTCACTGTTAAGAAATTTGTTTTCATATTAATATTAGAAAAGCAAAGGAAAATAAAGAGCCTCATAGAGAAAGATTTTTCTCTAAAAAAAATGTTTACAGAAGCACATCAACACATAACATACACAAACAAAGTCTATATTTTAGAAAACAACCTTGTTGCAACCTGTGTTGCATTTATAGGGCTTTTTGAAGTTACCTGTCATGAAACAATTTCCTGTATTTTAAAAGAGAGTGCTTACCCAAGTGAATACAGACGGCATTGCTTGCTTCTGATTCGGTGAATGAGGCTAAACCTCTCATCAAGACAGATCGACCAGGGCTTTTTTGAGGTTTCAGAGTACCCCTTCAGGCTGTTCAGGTTCATATGTTCACATGAAATCTGTTGAAATCAAAGGATGCTTCATTTTAGATAGGACTTTTAATTTGTTTTTAATTTGCCTTCTGGGGAAAGGGTGGAAAAAGAAAAATGTTAATTGGTTTCATTTAAATCTGATTGTCAATTTGGTACATGGCTACAGAAATTTGATCATTTTTTCCCTGTTCATCTGTTCTGCTTGGTGAAATTTAAGGCTTATATAATCCCACAGAGAGCAATGCAGTTTGAAAAGCAAATAATTAAGCAATAGTACTGTAGCCCAAATCATTTTTCCACAAGGAAAAGATCTTTCACCATTTAAATGTTTTGGAGTTTTTTTCAAACCTTGGAATGGATTCTGCATCTCAAATAATGATAAAATCATTATTCATGTCATGATTCAAGATTGTAATCACAAGGTGCAGTGTCACACAATGTAAGCCGTATACCTTATCCAGAGTATCCTGGATCTCAGCTCCAGAAGGGATTTAATCACTACCTCAACACATGGCCTCTCCAAAAACAAGGGGATTTAAGCAAGTGCTTAACTAAACAGAGGAATCATAGCATGTGTGTCTATGCTGAGCTGGCTTAGATGTCTCGAGCCTAAAGCCAGGATAAAACACCCTGCAAAAGAAGAAACAGAGACCCTGCAGGGAGGAACACTGTAACTTAAAGCCCTTGTACAGACCAAGAAAGCAAAGACTGAAAACACACTGGATTCATCAGAAACCTGTAAGTGTCAAAAATCACTTAACTGAGGTGTGAAGTCAGCTTTGCCGGCAGCTGAGCAGCAGCCGGCAGCAGCCAAAACACAGCGGTGTTTGAGCCGACAAAACCACGGCTCTGTGAATAACACCCTAAGGAGGAGCCCCTGCCTGCAGCACCAGCTCTGCCTGTCCCCCCAGCAGCCTGGGCCAGCGTTTCACCCCCAGGCCACATCACCCTGCACCATCCTCTTCTTCCAGACACACTCTGGAAAAGGCAGGTATAGAGCTGGGGAGCACTGCACCCTTTCCAGAACTCAGGATCCAGAGCACAGCAGGTGATGGAGAGCCAGTACAATTCGTACGGCTGTTGCCTTAGCAATGTTAAGGAGGTAAGAGGGAGCAGAAGTAAGCACCAAAGCTGTGGCTGCTTCTGCCTAAGAAAGGTTGTGCCACTCTGCATCAGCATCAGCATCTACAGTTGGGTTTTGAAGGGCTTTTCAAACCACATGCAGCCCAGCCATCAAATTCAGGGTTGGAGGGCACAGGCTGCTTAACACACAGATAGGAAAGCAAAGACTGAGAAGAGCTGCAGGAACCCAGCTGAGCCATCACAACAAAAAGTTGTTCTTTGCACTGAGTACCAACCCTAGCTGCAGGAATGGGAGCTGGCACTGCCAGAAAGCCAAAAACTAAAATGGTGGGAAGGAATGTGGTAGAGACAAAACCAGGTTAAACATCAGTCCTGAACAGACTGTTCTCATCTTGCTCCTTCCTTCCTCTACAGCAGACTACCCAGGTTCAGTTCTCAGTTTTAGCCAAACGAAAAAGCATGGCTCTGGTCCCACCCGGAACCACAGAAATGAAACAATTTTACACAGGGGTGAGAATGAAAACTGGATCCCAGCCTTTAATGTGATAGGCACTCTCCACCAGGTACCTTATAATAAGTAAAAAAACTAATTCTTTAAGAAGCTTATGCTCTGAAAGATCATTGCCTGAAGCATTACATTCAAAGAGCTGCACACTGCATCACCACCTCCCTGCTCCTGCTCAGCTCATAATTCCCACAGAAAATTTATTCAAGCTAATATAGCATCTCTTCATGCTGTTCTCGGGATTCACTAAGTTTTAAGCAATTATTTGCACTGCACCCCACTACCCATTTCCCTTCAGTCGCGTAACAATCAAGGAATAAATGGCATTGCAAAAATAAGCACTAATTTAAGACACAGAAGAATAATGTACTCTCTACAGAAAACTATGATTCTGCAATGCTGCCACTTAGTTGACTCATGGCATTATGAGCAATTACAATAGTCAGAATTCGGAGCAATCTTAACAGCTCTTGCTACTTAATTGCTCTTGCTATCAAAAATAAAAAAAAAAACCACCCAATCCTGAACCTGCCTATAGCACCATCACCAGTCTGTTGCATGATTTACAGACCCTGATGCACTGAGCTCACATCCTGTTCTGGGCTTCTGTTCACTACTATCATACAAACAACGGCACAGGTAAGATGGTTCTTCTAATCATCAGATACCAGCACTGAAAAAGCTTTTTCTGGCCACATCTCAACACTGCTGACATGGCATCTTCCCCTCCAGCAGTTTAAGCCATTGTACACTATCGGCAGGGAGCTGAACTCAGGCACAGTAATTAGTACACACTTGCTCAACAAACAAGGAATATCAGATCCCATGCTCATCTACATAAGCAGGATCCCATTCTCAGAAGCACTCATACCAGTTATGGTGTTATCCCGTCAGTTATTAATATTGTAACATTCGCCAGGTCTGAAACAGAGATTTCTCTAATTTTTTATTTTCACTTATGCTTGTTTCCCTAACCAAGGTCAGTTACCCTGGGAACAAAACTTCTTGATTAGTGTGTCAGAAGCAATAAACTCTCTATTAACTGATGTCTTTGTAGGCTTTAACCCAACTAGTGGAGTTTAGCAGCATCTGCCACTGTTTATTAAGTCACTGAGATGAAGGATGTTTTCAAACTCAGTATGTCTGCTGCAGCCTAAATTTCTGTACAACAAAACAAGCAGCTCTACACGCATCTCTTGCTGTCCCCATATGCATCACCTTGCCTCTTGCCCTCTCAATGCTGGCATGAGTGGCAGCACAGATGTCATTTTCTTGACCATTTAGCCAGGGGTATCCACAAGCTGGAGGATACGTGAACACTCTACTACCCTCCTTTTCAGATGTGTTTCAAATGAATCTTGTCTCAGCCTTGAAAGCACTGCATCAACAAAGAATTTCATATGTGAATGACATTTCAGTGACATTAGCACCCGAGGCTTTTTGCTGTTCTCCAGTGTAAGTAATGGTGCTGTTAAATCTGTATTCAAGGGTCAATTGCTGATAGACCTGGGTACTGAAAGCAGCTGCCCTGTCAGAACTGTGGGCATCTAGCACCTTTTCCAATTTTTATTACTGGAAATACATGCATAAATGCGGTTGTGCATAAATGATGCCCCTATGAAGACATGATGGCCCAATTTCCATATGTGCTGAATGCTGTAGGTAACCGTCAACACAATCTGGATTTAGAAATTACATATTTTAAAAATCACATAAACCCACTCGTTTTCCAGGTCATCATTTTTGTCCTGAAAATATCAGGTATCATTGGTATCTGGTATTATTGAAACAACATGTCCAAGTTAGGGTCTGATGCCTTGTTCTCATTTTACTGAGAACCTCAAATGCATCCTTTTTAAGTAAAATGAGCCTGGTTATCATATTATTATTGAGGAGTGGAGTTGGGGGAATAACACAGTTTTCTCAATACAGAGTGCTCTGTATTTTTCTGTATCTGAGAGGGAGTGTGTTTGTGAGAGAGAGAGAGAGAGAGGGAGAGAAACTACGTCCAGAATTTCAGTCATACCACACTCCTGTCAGGACACAAACCCATCCAAAAATAAAAAGCAAGGAAATAATGCATTCTTTCTAACCTGTGTTTTGACCTTTACATTCATGTTGACCATCCCTGCTAGGTTAAACAACTTTAGAAATAAAACAGTTTCAAAAAAAGTTTGGTGCAAGGTTAATTCATCAACTGAGAGGGAACAACCTGTGGCAGGCAAACTATCTTCTAAATGGAGACTGAAATGAAAAACATACCTGAGAAGTGCTAATATACTTTAGGAACCTCAATGCCTCGTAGTTAAGGGAAGGAGTTGGACTTGCCCATGGTTGTAGTTCAACGTGCCATCTTACAGTCTGTAAAACAAATCAAAACAAAAAACACCTTAAAGGTAGTACAATCATAAAATGCAAGGCCTAATAAAATAAGGAGATTTAATTTCAAACAAAAAGTTTCTTAGAGGCTTGTCTACACATGAAAGACATTTCAGAATAAAGTAGGGTTTGAACTACAATTAAAGAGCACTTATGATTTATAGTGATCAGCTTTGAAAGCAGATGTAGGTAATTCAGAAAGAAAGGACTCTTCATCCAGGATACACATGTCAACCCAGTCATTCTAGGACACCCAAAAAAGCCGTGGCTTGCAGAAACACATGAAAAAAAACCAAGATCTGAGTAACTAAAACCCCTACCAAAACATCTGAAAACAGTGATATCATTTTAATTTTATATCTGTTGCATATCTGTTTGAATGTCCACTGAAAGAAGAACTTGGATTGTAAACACTAATCACCAAAGGAAACCTCTGCAAACAACCTCTTTTCTTTTTTAAGATCTAGATTTTATTGAAAAGCAAGCTTCTTGTGGTCTTTGAGAAAAGTCCTCTTCCTTTTCCATGCTTGCCAGACGAGATACACCAGGATTATTTGTTTCCCCTCAAAAAATACAAGTGTAGCTGCCCATAGCCCTACCACTCCTCATTTTTGTAGCCTCGAGGAAGTAGCTTCAGTGGGTGCTTTCTGCACTCCCTACAAGGCCCCTCAGCTCTGAACCTCAGGGATCCTGTCAGCTTTCCCAGAAACCCTTCCCACATGGACAGAGTAGGACAGAAAAGGTCTTTCAGACACATGCTTGCAGAGCAACAGGGCTCTGTGCTCCCATCTGTGCCACCTTCTCCAAATTCTGCCTGCTTTTGTCATGCTGGGAAATTTAGACTTGTCATCTCTTGCCCTCAAGTAGAGAAAAATACAAGCATGGTGTTAAGTTGTACTAAATTAGGATTGATTCCTCATGGCTTTTCATCTTCAGGCACCATAACTCACTTCTATGGCTGGGCAGGTAGAATCAAGCTTCCCTTTAATCATCCTCAATTAACTGAGCTTCCATAATGGGGTTCCTCCCTCATAGGTTCATGTTGACATTCAATAAAATACAATCAGAAACCCCATTTGGGATTCCCATAGGACTTTATTTCAAAAGAAGCCCTGGAAAACACGTAGGAAATAGCAATTAGCTGGAGAGGATGAAGACAGATCAGAGAAGTGAGGTGCTGAGACACGAGATAGGACTGGTCTGTGGCACCGGGAGAAGAGCCAGCACAGTGACAGCAGGGATCCTCTGATGCCAGAGAGGAACACAGGAAAAAGAAGGTAAAACTAGAAAAGAAAGGTTATTAAAGAGGACCACCAGACTAGATGGAGTTTGCCTTCAGCTGATATCACAAATGGATATTTTTGCAGCCTAAGGAAATGTAGTCTAGAGTGAATGTGAGCCAGGAGGTCTGTATGAGGTTTATTGTTCCTTTAGGGGTTACTCTTTGTTGGTTTTTTCACTGTAAAGAGATGATGAAATGGACATTTTAGACATTTTTTTTCCCCCCAGAAGCAGACAAAACTAGCATTTCTCACCCTGAAACTTCCTGCCAACAGCAAACGCGGGCTCCTATACTCTGCACAGCATGAGGCTGGAAGCAAGCTAGCAAGGAAGCTCTGCAGTAGCACATACCCATGACCTCTGATTGCAGAAGCCAGCCTGCAAGCAGCTAACAGTAGGAGGATAGGTGCACACCAGGGAGTGAAATGCGTGTAATCTTTCAGAATGAGTCACAGTTCACACGGCTGAATAACGTTTGCAATGACAGGAATGCTGTCGTTTCAACAGGCTTGAAAGCTGAAATGAAAATGAAGACTGACAATCATTTTCAGGCAAAAAAAGAAAGGGGAAAAAAACCCACACCAAAACGAAACAAAAAAACCCAAACCACCTACCAACCACACAGATACCTAAACATCTGTGCCCAGTTATTCTGAAATTTATTTGTGTGAGAAGTAGCTCATTAAGTAGAGGAATTGCAGGGTGGCCATTGTGACACTATTCAGCAAGAATTCAGTCTGCACAGAGGGAAGAAAAAAAAATCCCTATAATGAACCACGTGAATGAGGTTCTTTTTCAGCAAACTGCAATATACAAGAGCCACTGCAGCTTACTCTCAAGTTCTTAAAATCTTAAAGATGACAAACTGCCTTCCCAGTGACTCCAAACTATCCATAAACACATGAAAATGAAATAAAAACCCCAGTGACTTAATAAGGCAGTCTCAAAAAAAAAAAAAAAGAAAACCACAACCTTTTATATAGTTCTTTAAATTTAGAAGCACTGCATAAATGCTACTTTTATGACAGATATCAGACCTGAGGCTTCTGTTTGATGGCAATTCTTTTAAATAGCTTCTCAAACTTCACACTTGGACCCTGGCTCCTTAGGAAGTAGCAGCATATTTCCATCCACTAACGAATACATTAGAGAGGTCTGTTCCTAACACCTACTAAGCATCTCTATGGAGCACTTCAATAGCTGCTGAACAGATTCACAGATGATGAACTGGGATGAAAATCTAGCACATCCCTTGGACCAAGTGGACCCTCCCAGTGGGTAACTCACTGATGTTGGTGACATGACATAGGTATGTTCAGGACTCACAAAATATCCTCCTGAAGAAGCCATTCCATATGTACATTGGTAGCCTTTGTTTATAGTTTTTCAGGTAATTTTCAGTCTGTTCCATAGTGTTACCATGTAAGCCTTCTCAAATAAACTCTACAGATAAAACGCACCTGGTCTTACCTCCATATTATGCAGCTTTGGATATGAAAAGACAGACCTCCACAAGGTCACTCAGGAGCCAGAAAATGGGTTCAGCCATTCTGCATCTCTGCCTATCACCATGGGGGGGCTATCTCCCTAGGGTAAGGACTCATCCAACCATGACTGTGTTTCCCAAACAGCAGCATATAAAGAGATGACAGTACCTGGAAAGTTACAATGCTACTTAAAAAAATACCATACTGAATATCTTGAAGTATGCCTCTATATACAGCTTCACTTACAGACACATTACCTGAAATTAGCATTGTTAAGAAAAATCAGTCTTCAGCAAGACTTTATCTTGAGCACTGGTCAGACACTGACTTCAGCTACTCCAGAATGGTAATGGATATCCTGAAACTGTTATTCAGGGTGATGTCTAAATTTTCACCACATGAGAGTAAAGAAAATCTTAAGGCAATGCCATTGCTTTGTTAGAAAAAGAAGGACACATTTGAAGGTCTGATTTTTTACCCAGGTACTTCACACTTAAGGATAAGGACTGATGTTTCCTTCAAACCAATCTGACAGTAATCAGCAGAGTCTTTTCTCTGGAGCCACTTCTTTCTAGATTTTTCTTCCTCATAGCCATCTACAATAGTCATCTGATAATCCCTTAATAATCTGTAGTATATATAAGGTATACTTTTAAAGGACTGTCACTTAAAATCTCAAATCATAACATAAAATTTAAATAAACATGTGCAAAGGGCTTACAAACCAGCAGGTCTAAAACTGCAGGTCTGCAAAATATCTGGCTTTTCTAGCCTAAACTTGAAACACACAAATCATTAAATTCTTTCCAGACCAATCCTAGTTTCAGCGCACTGATCCAAAAAGCTCAACCCCTCCCTTCCCTTCTGCTTATATTTGAAAGAGAATTAGTAAGTTTTGCATATTTCCATCTTTTTTTCAATAACTGTTTTTTCCCTCTCTTAATCTCCTTCCTTGTTAGCAGCCAATTAAAACAGAAACATATTAGCTGTGTTTATAAACAAAAATTTGGGAATTCCATTACCCTGTGAAGCAATCTGTTGCTTCCAAAGAAGAAACAAAAGACTTGTCAATATATACACAGATGTCTTAAGCAAATCCTCTGATTAAATCACGCAACAATAATTTTTTTACATTTGAGGCAGGACCAAATGTGAGTGGAAATCACTTGTGGCAATAAATTCCATCAATAACCATAAATATTTGCTAGTCACAGAACACAAATGACACACGCATCTTCACCTCCAACCATTCTGGCTACCTGGTACCCTACGTACCACCACACTCAGCCTTGTAAAAGGGCACAGCACAAAAGAGCTTGCTTGTGGGTGAAATTTTGCAGGGATTTTATCAGTTTAAAATGCAATGCGTGGGATTCAAATTGCAAAATTTCAGGCATCGACATGGCAGATTTACTGGATTGAGCTCCTGAAGGCTTGCCCTTGTGAGAGGAGATATGATTTACAGAGCTTAGACATAATATTGTTTGAGGTCCCGCTGCAGCACCTTTGGCCTTAAGCATATTATTTTGTAGTGGTCTAATTGTTTGGGTTTTTCCCTCAATTCAGAAGTGAAAGCAGTGTGTTGTAGCCCACTCAAGTACTGGCTTTACAAAACACGCTTCAAGAGGGTCACACAACAAGTGTGATGCCTGCTAAGATGAGTAGGAGGACTGCTGAGGGTGCAGGCAGCCAAACCTGGCACACTGCTCCTCTTGCTGACAACACAGAGCAGCTCCAGCGGCAAAGAATTCCTCGTGAACGCCCACATTTAGTTTCATAGGCAATTAGGTGGTTGACTCCAAGGGAGAGACAGGAGTGAAGAAATGCTCCTGCAGTGAGGACAGCCACAGAAGCTGGGAGCTGGGCTGTGGAGCTAAGTTATCTGACAGGACAGATGAGGCAGACAGGCTCTTTAACAGAATGATTCATCTCACTACAGAGTAGTGAGTAGATGAATCAAGCACTGGAAAAGTCCAAGACCCTCCATGACGTGCAAAGGAAGCCTGAAGGCTGGGCTCAAGAACACCTACACCATAGATGCTCAACACCACAGAAGAGAAACCCCAGCCCAGACTATCACACATGCCATATTGCAAAAAATCATGTGTTTTAGAGGAGTGAGCCTAAAACAATGTTTAGTTGCACTTCATTCTTCAGCAAGATTGAGTAATTCCAAATGTTTTATGTTAGGAGCAGCAATATGTGGCACAAGTT